ATGCAATTTTTCCTTAAACCACAAAAATGGTACCAACGAAAATAAATGAATCTACAGTAACTGTTCTGCCAGATATGTTGTATGGATGAATATTGTATGTTTTCCATTATTGGGGCCCCTCATGGGGGTGTCCAGGTAATCACATAATCAAAAACACCATGAGGAGGCTCATTATTAGCCAACACAAATATTGGAGTACCCGGTAGCTGTTTTGGCATAGATGCTTTATGATATCAAAAGACTTAAAAAATCAATTAATTATTATATTTTTGTTGAACAGGTGAAAATAAAATAAAATTCTTATCATGTTTAAAAGAAATTTATCATCATACTGTTAAAATTAGTTTTATTTTACATGAAATTCAAATTCTTTTTTTGGACCATATCATTTTAAAAGGTTTTATGTGTTTCTCATTAGATACAATACTTTTTTTCTTCTCTCATTGGTCAAATTTTTTAATTTTTAAACTGCTCGACAAGTTGAGAGATTAAAAATAAAAAAACTTAATAGATGTCTACAAAAGATTATGTATCTCTAAATGTAATTGTCAACATTATTTATATAATAATGTTGTGTTTAACATTGACTATTCGAAAATAGTAGCCAGGGTAAGAGACAATAGTGCATGACCTGAAGGGGAGTGCACTATTGTCTCTCACCCTGGCTACTATTTTCCATAGTCAATGTTAAACACAACATTAAAATCATTATTATACTGACTGTTTACTATTTCAAATAGTGCCAATAGTGTATTTCTATGTAAAAAAAAAATGCTTTATACTATGAAAAGAAGCCCTTTATGTAACTCTGCATATAAATATGCTGTCTTAAAGAAAGTTGACTTTGTCTACTTGCCTGCTAGAAAGAGTTAAAAATGAATAGATTCAAAAGTATGTGTTTTGAGGTGAAAAGATTGATTTTAACTCTATCTGAATATAAATCATTATTGACTGGTTTAACAAGTAGAATTCTTCTTAAGCTTGTGCTAGAGGTCGTCTTAAACTTGCTGTGAGGTACCTATATTTTGCTCATTGTTGAAGGCATGAACTCATGTTGACTCCAAGATGAAGAAGTACCAAAAGGCATCGTGTCATATAGCTTTGATTGCCCGGTATTATTTTGGATTTTGTCTAAAGAAGGTTTACTCCATACCCCTTCCATTTCATTCTCATTAACCTTTTCCATAGCACTCAATAACTTTTAAAAACAGTGATGTGTTCATAACTATTTATCTGTAACAAATGACTTCTAAAGTATTCAAACAATTTTGGCTTCAACAGCAGTAAACAAAAGTAAACAAAGAACAAAAACGTTCTAACAGAAACTACAGTATTTTAAAGTCTCTGAAAATGTCAGAAAAATTTAGATGATATCTACTATTTCCCCTTATAGTTTAACTATAATAGTTAATTAATTGTCAGGCTAATAAATCCAACCCAGTTGCCTGCCTTTGCACATGAAATTGAAAATGATTGACGTGAATATCAAGTCTGTTGCAACAGTAATGCATACTATTATCGCATAGTGCAGTTAACTCTATACATTTCTTTTAAAAACTATGCAAAAATAGAGCAATTTTACTAAAGAAGGACATTCTTGCAGGAAGTATAATAATTAAACATATCCTTTAAGGTTTAGCTAGCTATAAAACCAGGTTTAATTTATCATTATCTACATATAAAAAGCCTGTCCCAAGTCAGGAATATGGCATTTGTAATCCATTTGTTTGATGTGTTCGAACTTTTGATTTTGCTATAGGCTTATGACTTTTCTTTAGAATTTTTCTCAGAGTTTGGTATTTTTGTTATTTTACTTTTTACTCATACCAGTCCAGATATCTATAGGAAAGGGATTCCAACTGACAGTGTTGAAAGATTTACGGAACTTTTTCTCCAGCCCCTGTGTCATCTGAGGATAAAAAGTCTCTGTGCTATCACCTCGTGCTATCACTACATTACCTATACTACCAAACTGATGCTGTATAAGGAAAATATATGTTTCTCTCCTCTTGATGCATTAAATAATATACAGTGCAACCTGTTTTAAGAAACCACCCAAGGGAGAGTCAAAAAGTGGTCTCATAAGACAGGTGGTCTTTTAATACAGGTTCAATCTATATGAAATGCATTATTACAGAGAGACCTTAAACTAATGGTCTTTCAACACAGGTTTTTGCTTCATACAGGAAGTTTCTTAAGCAGGTTTGACTGTATATACATGTGACAGATGAAAACAGGGACAGATAACTGTCAATATTTCAACCAATGAACTACCTTAATAAATGTAAACAGGGACAGGTAATTGTTTATAATTCAACCAAAAAACTAAAAGATGAGAATTTTTAATATCTTCTTTTTTTTTGTCTTTTTGTTGTTTGTCTGTTCTTGGTGTTGATCTGATTAACAAAGCCTTTCAACTGATATTTATTCACTTTTTTTTATTGTTACGGTCACATCACTGTCATAGTGGAGGGGATAACCAAACATATTTAGTCATGCCAAAGGGAGTATAAAGGTGACATATAGTTGCTTACATCCACAACAATTTTTCACTTGTGGATAGTTTACTCATTGGCAATCATACAACATGTTTTTACTTTTAAATTGAAAGATCATGATCATTTTAAATCAACAAATTGTGTTAAATGCACACCTACGTTATTTTTGAAATACATAGTAAATATTCTTGATTAATATATTTTTCTGTTTAATTATTAAAGTATCATTTTCATTTACACTAAGGGGTATGTTCTTTTTTTTTGTTTTCTTTAATTTTTTATGCTGTTTTCTTACACTTAAAGGGGCCTCGGTGGCTGAGTGGTCTAAGTAGTTACTACTGTAATCACTAGCCAGTCAACACTGAGGTTGTGAGTTCGAACCCCCCTCGTGCGGGTGCTCTCGACTCCAATCTTAATTGACTAGGATTGTCAGTTTTCCTATTAAAGGTCAGTGGTTTTTTACGGGCACTTCAACTTCCTCCACCAATAAAAACTGGCCGCCACGAAATAGCCCAAAAGCGGTGCTTAAAAGTGGCGTTAAAACACAAAAAATCAAAATCAAATCAAATCTTACACTTTATATTTTGCTCATTGTTCTCTATTCTATATATTTCAGCACTACCAACCAAACAGTCCCTATTTGTTTAGTTTTTTCTGCCCATTTTTCAGTATTCTCTTTTCTGCAAACCTAATTCTGACCCTGATACTAATTACATATAAGGATACTACATTTCCTTTGCTATCATGTCGCCTAATGCCTTGACTCATCTGTTTCTGTAATCCTGCCCAAGACAGCTTACTGTAACAGCAAAAATAAAGCATACTATGGATTACTGTAAATTAAGAAATTAATCCGTCCATTTATTATTGCTATTTTGTCATTTTAGACTAAAATGCGATTTTAATTTTTTGCGATATTGAGAAAAATCCTGTTCAATTCATATAAAAATTTTCAAATTGCGAGTTTAAGTTATTGCGATTATAACACTGTCGCATTTTTTCGCAACAATAAAAACATCGCAATAATTTCTAAAATTTACAGTAGTATCTGTACATCTCCAATAATTTGGAGCACCACTACATGTGAAGCTAAAACTACTAAATAAAGATCCTTTTGCAATAATTTTAGACATCCTTTCAAAACAAATATGTTTCAATTGTTATCAGATAAGTTTTACCAGGTCCAGAATTTGCTTGAATGTACTGTAAATTCAAAAAAATATTGGGAGGTTTCAATTGTGAGGTATTTATAACTGCAAATAACGTGACAGGGTTGGATTCCCAATTATAAAGACTTGCATTTTGATATCAGATACATGTATTTGTATGCAGGTTATCCTGAAATAGCACATATTATCTTGTATTTGTGTCCATATTTCAAAAATTCACACCAATAAATGAACTAATTAATCTCTGAATTTACAGTACCACTTTTTACTTAATTGTTTTAAGTTACCTTTTAGCTATATGATGGACCTGTATAAATTTATTTGCTGGAAGAGGACAAACTGATCTTATCATCTCCCAAGGTTCCATACCTATACTTGGCCCACTACAAAACAAAAAATATGAACTTGCAATTAGAATACAAAAAATGTAATGCATACATTGATTAACTCCTCTTAAGCTTGTAAACTCTAATCTACTGTCTGGTTTATCATATGTTCCAGGAAGTAAGTTATAACGGAAAACTAGAGGCTCTAAAGAGCCTGTGTCGCTCACCTTGGTCTATGTGCATATTAAACAAAGGACACAGATGGATTCATGACAAAATTGTGTTTTGGTGATGGTGATGTGTTTGTAGATCTTACTTTACTGAACATTCTTGCTGCTTACAATTATCTCTATCTATAATAAACTTGGCCCAGTAGTTACAGTGGAAAATATTTTGTAAAAATTTACAAAATTTATGAAAATTGTAAAATATTGACTATAAAGGGCAATAACTCCTTAAAGGGTCAATTGACAATTTTGATCATGTTGACTTATTTGTAGATCTTACTTTGCTGTACATTATTGCTGTTTACAGTTTATCTGTATCTATAATAATATTGAAGATAATAACCAAAAGCTGCAAAATTTTCTTAAAATTACCAATTCAGGGGCAGCAACCCAACATTTGCCTGATTGGTCTTAAAATTTCAGGGCAGATAGATCTTGACCTAATGAACAATTTTATCCTCGTCAGATTTCCTCTAAATGCTTTGGTTTCAGAGATATGAGCCAAAAACTGCATTTTACCCTATGTACTATTTTTTAGCCATGTCCGCCATCTTGGTTCGCGGGCCGGGTCATCGGACACATTTTTTAAACTAGATACCCTAATGATGATTGTGGACAAGTTTGGTTAAATTTGTCTTAGTAGTTTCAGAGGAGAAGATTTTTGTAAAAGATTACAAAAATTTACGAAAAATGGTTAAAAATTGACTATAAAGGGCAATAACTCCTTAAGGAGTCAACTGATCATTTTGATCAAGTTGACTTATTTGCAGATCTTACTTTGCTGAACATTATTGCTGTTTACAGTTTATTTCTATCTATAATAATATTCAAGATAATAACCAAAAACAGCAAAATTTCCTTAAAATTACCAATTCAGGGGCAGCAACCCTACAACGGGTTGTCCGATTCATCTGAAAATATCAGGGCAGATAGATATTGACCTAATAAACAATTTTACCCCGTCAGACTTGCTCTAAATGAGTTGGTTTCAGAGATATAAGCCAAAATCTACATTTTACCCCTACGTTCTATTTTTAGCCATGGCGGCCATCTGGGTTGGATGGCTGGGTCACTGGACACATTTTTTAAACTAGATACCCTAATGATGATTGTGGACAAGTTTGGTTTAATTTTGCCAAGTAGTTTCAGAGGAGAAGATTTTTGTAAAAGTTAACGACGACGGACGACGGACGCCAAGTGATGAGAAAAGCTCACTTGGCCCTTTGGGCCAGGTGAGCTAAAAAAGCCATAAAAAATCTTCTATCAATTTAATTTGATGTAGGAGTGATCACTTTTACCAATTGTTGACAAAGGTGATAACGTACATGATTATTTTAACATGGTGACCGTGAGACAAAACAAACAATGTGTATGTAAGGGGCACCATTTCTTATGAAATCATGTCACGAGTTTCTACACAATTTTAATGTAAAGGGAGAAATTTGTTTTTTGGTTTGATTGGAGACAATACCAACTTTTTTAATGTGAGGCCTGACTGTTTGTGTTATTGTCATTTAAGGGCTGACTATTATATCTTTTTCTATGGAAACTTGATGTTTACCCAATTTGTCATGTAAGGGGAGTCAATTCAAAATTTTTTGGTGGAAGCAGTGATTACTTTCATAGCTTTCTAGAGACTCTCTTTTATGTTATAGGAGACAGGGTGTAAGAATAAGAATAAGAATTTTATTAGTTGAAAATCCAAACAATAGGATTGTTACTAAATAAACAAACCAATACAAAACCAAAAGAAAACAAACAGACGATAGACATTAAATAAAACAAACATGTAGCATTGAAAAAAAAATAAAGATTATTAATTTTAATTATAATACTATTTTTGACAGCATGCCTCCTCTATAAAATTATCAATTCAAATATTATGATTATATATAACATTATAAGTTAATTATATATATATAAGCCACCAATCACACACAGTTCATATATTGACATTATAATTGTTTCTCTCATTATACATTTCACTTATATTGTTAACAATAATAAGTAAAATATCACATTCTTCACAAGAAAATATAGAATCAAATTTGTTTTCTTTACTCATTGAATTAAAACTGAGGACAATAAAAGAAATTTCATTAAACATTTTGATCCTAGTTTTATTAATTTCTGTACATGTTATGATAAAATGGAATTCATCTTCCACCTCTTAATGGTATAAAGGACATATTCTATTTTCCAAGGCTGTTTTATTGTATCTACCGCATTCAACAGCCAGAATACTATTACTTATTCTTATTTTGGTATATTTTTTTGTAACATTTTTATCTAAATTCAATAAAAGGTACTTTTTTATTTCATACTTTACTTTAAATTTTCTGTAGGTTCTTAGTTTATTTCCATTTATTGAATTATCATCATTAAAGAGACAATTTTTCCAAAATATAATGTTATTTTCATTGAGCTTCTTCACAAGGGCTAAAAGTAATCGTTTTTTAGAAAAAGTACATTGATTTCCCAAACATGAGTGAAATTCAATTTTGATAGTAGCAATTTAATTTTTGAAGCAAATCCATCATTTAACTGCTTGTTAATTTTATAAACATTATATAATAAAGACTCATTTTCATTTGAATTTAAAATATGTAACCAAAATCCTACAGAAGACTTAAGTGTAAGAGATGACACATCATATCTGAATTTAAACTTGTGGCAGAGAGTTAATCAACATTTTTCAGGAAAGATGTTACATAATTATTGTAGATTTGAGAAAAAACTTTAAACACCATATTTTGGGTCAAATAATAGGGTCAATCAAAATTTTTTTAAAACATTTTGTAAAAGAAATCAAATCTTTTATGAGAAGGGACAACTTTTTTTTTAATTATTTTTAGTGCCAGGGGATACAATCAACATTTTTTTATTTAGTGTAAACAAGTGACCATGTTTTACAGTTTTGATATAAAAAAGAAGATGTGGTATGAGACTATTTACATCCTTTAACATAATGGAAAGCAGTCCATTCCTTGTTTGTAAAAGAACTGACAGTATATAGCTTGTTTTTAATGGGTTATTATTTGCTACACATTTTTTATATAAGGGAGGAACACATCAAAACTGAAAGTGTAAACATATGACTATGTCGTATAGATTTGGGGAAGAAACTATGTATGCCCTTTGTATACATGAGGGGACTATTTTTAAGAATTTGTGCATAGTGTGATTTTTTATACTGTATTATGCATATGTAAGGTGAAAGTTATAAAACTCTATGGTGAAAAATTGTTTATTTTTTAATCTTTAAAGAAGGTACCATAAAAAAAAACATTTTATGAGTAAAGGGAGGCAATTCAAGCTATTTTTCATGTCAATATTATACTAATTCTTTTCTAATTTAAACAACAAATCTAATCTTTTTGGTACTTAACCAAATTAACATTAGGTATTTGTATACTTAATGAAATTATAGTGTTTTTTTTATTATACATATGTAAAAGTGATATTCAAAAAATCTGAATGTATAATTGTAAGGGGAGACAATCTAACCTTTTTGGTGTCATGGTATCTGTCGGCAGGAATACTCAACCAAGAGCAGACGCTATAGAGGTGTTCATGGCATCAGAAGAAACACTTTTACTTTATGTAAGGGGAGATAATCTAACCTTTTTGGTGTCATGGTATCTGTTTGCAGGAATACCCCACCTAGAGCAGAGGCTATAGAGGTGTTCATGGCATCAAAAGAAATATGGTCACTTAATGTTAGGGGAGACAATCTAACCTCTTTGATGTCGTAGATATTTAGGCAGAAATATCCAAATACAGAATAGGTGTTCATGGCATCGTAAGATACTTTTTAGTTTTATATAAGGGGAGATAATCTAACCTTTTTGGTGACATAGTATCTGTGGGCAGGAATACTCCACCAAGAGCAGATGCTATAGAGGTGTTCATGGCATCAAAAGAAACGCTCTCCATCTTTTTCTGCAGTTTTCCGAGAACATCATCATTATAGGTCAGAACAACACAGTCAGTATTCCTGAAATAGAATCATCTTTATAGGTCAGAACAACACAGTCTGTGTTTCTGAAACAGAATCATCATTATAGGTCAGAACAACAGTCTGTATTCCTGAAATAGAATCATCGTTATAGGTCAGAACAACACAGTTTGTGTTCCTGAAACAGAATCATCATTATAGGTCAGAACAACACAGTCTGTGGTCCTGAAAGAGAATCATCATTATAGGTTAGAACAACAGTCTGTGTTCCTGAAATGGAATCATCTTTATAGGTCATAACAACACAGTCTGTGTTCCTGAAATAGAATCATCATTATAGGTCAGAACAACACAGTCTGTGTTCCTGAAATAGAACCATCATTTTAGGTCAGAACAACACAGTCTGTGTTCCTGAAATAGAATCATCGTTATAGGTCAGAACAACACAGTCTGTGTTCCTGAAATAGAATTGTCTTTATAGGTCAGAACAACACAGTCTGTGTTCCTGAAATAGAATTGTCTTTATAGGTCAGAACAACACAGTCTGTGTTCCTGAAATAGAATCATTGTTATAGGTCAGAATAACACAGTTTGTGTTCCTGAAATAGAATCATCATTATAGGTCAGAACAACACAGTCTGTGTTTCTGAAACATAAACTTTTTGTCAAGGATCATTTAAACTAAATAAATAGTTTTTAAAACCAGTTTGGTTTTAAATTGAACATTTTAATTAGGAATAGTTGAAGAAATATATAACAATGTAGAAAACAAAGAAACTGCCAATAAAAACAACAAAAGAACAAACAAAATATAACACCAGTTTGGGTTTGGACAAATCAGAATCTAGATATTAATTGAATGAGGTCCCATCAATAATAATATAATTGTAAAAATATTTTATTCAAGAAATCTTTATGTATAGCTTCAAGAGTAAACAAATAGGAAATATACAAGTAATTAAAAAATAGGCAGGAAAATACATGTAACAACATTGATTAATCATAGACCTTAACAGCTATTTGTTCTTTTTTGAATTAATAAATGACATGAAAAATACACTGTTGAAGATGCAACCATATAATTATAAACACAAAAAGAATCTATGGATTTTTAAGTTGTTTATGTTGTTTTTTTTTTGCATTTTAAATTTTGGAATTTCTAGGAACAAACCTATTCCCAGGTTTTGTTTTTTTTATGTTTCTTGTCCCTAATTTTTCTTAAAGATCAGATTCAAGTGAGGATGTGTAGGCAGGAGATTTTATGCTAATCACAAAAATCTACCACATTATATTACTTGTAATTTTACCTTTGAAGATATGACAGTGTTAGCAAAGCATTATAGTTCTGTAACGGACTTTCTCCTGTCAAACATGGTGCCACAGTACAGGAAATCAGATGGTTCATGGGATATTCCTCCCTCATGGCCTCACACAGACGAGATCCTAATCCTACAAAATATACAAATATATGTAAGGTTCTGTTTGGGAATGATCCCTAGAGAACAGGAAATTAGATGGTTCGTGGGTTATTCCTCCCTGATGGCCCCACACAGACTGGACCCTAATGCTAAATATATACAAGTCTATGTAAGGTTCAGTTAGGTAATGATCCCCACAGTACAGGAATAATAATTGGATAATCTCTATTCTAAGAATATATAGATGTTTATAAAGTTGAGCTTGATATTTCCACAAATCACAAAAAGACAACAAAAGGAACATCATAAGGCCTTGTGATTGGTTTGTGTTGTCTCCCTTTGCCCAATTACTTTACATCATGATAATATGGAATATATGATATTGAGAAAAAAACAGTTGTGAAATATATGTTGCTGAATCGTTTTATTTCTATAAGTTTGGGCTTATAATAAAAGAATATAAAGAAATATAAAAATTCAAAGACCAAGGGGACATAACAAATTTTGTTGTTTCATTCACACGAGCTATAGTAACTACATACATACAAATACCAACCTGATCCTGTACCACCAGATAAACTGTGCATCATAATACAACCTATGTACATGTCACATCTGTATATAATACCTACCTGATCCTGTACCACCAGTCAAACTGTGCATCATAATACAACCACTGTACATGTCACATCTGTATATAATACCTACCTGATCCTGTACCACCAGTCAAACTGTGAATCATTATACAACCACTGTACATGTCACATCTGTATATAATACTAACCTGATCCTGTACCACCAGTCAAACTGTGCATCATAATACAACCACTGTACATGTCACATCTGTATATAATACCTACCTGATCCTGTACCACCAGTCAAACTGTGCATCATAATACAAGCACTGTACATGTCACATCTGTATATAATACCAACCTGATCCTGTACCACCAGTCAAACTGTGCATCATAATACAACCACTGTACATGTCACATCTGTATATAATACCTACCTGATCCTGTTCCACCTGTCAAACTGTGCATCATTATACCATCACTGTACATGTCACATCTGTATATAATACCAACCTGATCCTGTACCACCAGTCAAACTGTGCATCATTATACAACCACTGTACATGTCACATCTGTATATAATACCAACCTGATCCTGTACCACCAGTCAAACTGTGCATCATAATACAACCACTGTACATGTCACATATATAATAAAAAAAAAAAAAACTTCTTGAGAAACAAGGTAATTTCGACATACTGTATATGCACCTAACTACTTACTGTTGCAGATTTTGTTGACCTCTAAAAGGTCTTTGAATTTTCTGTGTTGTTGGGTTATATTGAAATATTGATGTAAATAATTATACATAAATTAATCAAGGAGTAAATACTGTAGATTAATTCATTTTCGTGAGCACCACTTTTCTTGGATTGAAAAATTTAATGTTAGCTTAAAATTGATTTCATGGTTTTGTCAGTCAGCATCCAAGCCTCTAAAAATATGAGTTCGTCTTTACCCACAAAATCCACTAAAATGTATATCCCACGCAAAATAATTAATAATTAAAAACCAATTGTTCAGAGAACAATTGAAGGTCTTTCCATTTCTAACAATTTTTTTTGCTATGAAAATATGAAAATTTGGTTTAAAATGTCATTTCCAGTGTCAAATGGTGCTGATTCCAAAAATATATGGTTTCTACACACTTTTGTATGAAATAAGTCTAAAATGTAGCTACTTCCGGTTTACACAAGGTCATTTCAGGTTTGCTTTTTCGAAGTCATATGGCTTGTAACTTAAAGCTCATATGGCTTTATAATGCATAAATAAGAATTTAAAGCAAAGGTCAAAATCTAGAATGTCAAATTTACCTTTGACCTTGACCCCAATTTCAAGGTCATAAACCAAGAATACTTAATCAAAAGACCCTAGGTCTTTAATATGTATGGTTAATGAGTTATATCACTATACGCATAGTTCTACATATTAGAGGGGCAAAAACTCCCATTTAATGTATACGCATCCTTTCAACTAAAATTCAGGAGTTACGACATGTTGTAAATGACAATTTAATAAAAAAAATGTTGTCGATATTTTGTACGGTTTATGAAAAGAAGTGAGAATAAGCCAAAATCAAAATTTAGAATTTGACCTTTGACCTTGACCGAATTCTTTTTTTTGGAACAAGGACCTCAAATCTGAAAACCTTATGTCTCTATCACTTATGGTTTACCAATTAGAAATGCAAATCACTTATATCAAATGCATAAGGGGAAATAAATTTCATATGGAGTTTCCGGAATGCTTCAATGTAAACCAAACTCAACATCCTGACAATATAGCCAGCAGTTTGGTAAAATAAATTTGTCGTAATCTTTTACGGTTGCGAAGGAGTAGCACACACAAGAAAAACAGTGTTCGGGGAGATAACTCTTACAAAATAAATTATTCAATTAAGCAATGTCATTTTCAAAAGCGTATAAACTGTTTGATATCACATACCAAAAATCTCAGCGACAACTTTTGAAAGTAAAAACTGCGAAAGAAAAAAATTAATTAAGCAGAAGAAAAAAAAAAAAAAAAATAAAAAAAATAAAAAATTTTGAAAATGACTTTGACCTTTGACCTTGACCTAATTTTCTTTTTTTTGGACATAGGACCTCAAATCAAAAGACCCTAAGTCTCTATCACTTATGGTTTGCCAGTTTCAAATGCATATCACTTATATCAAATGCATAAGGGGAAATAACTCTCATATAGAGCCTCTGGAGCGCTTCGATCCAAACCTATCTCAACATCCTGAGGATATAACGAGCGAATTGGTGAACTAATTTTGTCGTAATCTTTAACAGTTGCGACAGAGTAGCAAACACAAGAAAAACAGTCTTCGGGGAGATAACTCTAACAAGAAAAAGTGTTCAGTTTAATAGGGTCAGTTTCAAAAGCGCATAAACTGTTCAATATCATATACCAAATATCAAAGCGACATCTTGCAAAACAACCAAACAGCGAATGAAAAAAAAATTAGGCCCAAGGTCTGTTGGCAACATATTTGCCTTAATTGCTTTTTTTTATAGTTTTTTTACTTGTGTTTGGAATTCAGAATTAAGTCAGTTATTAAGACCTTGCTTTACAGTGCAATACTTGTCAGTTGGGCTTTAGGGCTGTATAACATGTATAAAGAACCATTAATTATGTATTTAGGTGTACTGTGTGGATGCTATCAAATTCAAAATGACACACATCTCCTTTTATCAATGCAACATAAAAAGTTACTATAAATTGAATAAACTGCTTCGCTGAGCGCAGCTGGATACGCCCGCAGAGGTCCAACCCTGAACAGTTGGGGCAAAAATTGACACAATATTCAAGCTTGATACAGGTCTGTATTTGGATTGTTATTAAATATTTGACATATTATAGGTTTCTGAATAAATGTAGTCAAAAAACTTGAAATTGGTTATATGAATTGAATTAATATTCAATTAAAGATTTCTTGCTGTTGTGCAATACACTGTGCTGTTGCACAATACTTAGTAAATCTGTTTTCAGACTATAAACAAAAAAAATAAAGTTCCACACATAACAGAAATTTATGAAAAAAATTACTGCTCAAATCATTTTTGAGTTATTGACTGAAATCCCACCTTATTTAATAAATACAACCCCATAAATCGGTAACATAAAATCTGAAATTTATAAAAATTAAAAGGGAAGTCACATCAATTGATATTAACAATTCAGCAAAGTTTCATGAAGGCTGTTCAAAGCGTTTTTGAGTTATTGTCCGAAAAGTGGAAAATCCCCCTTTTTGTAATGAATAAAACCCCATTAATCGGAAACATATAGTCTAAAAATTTATAAAAATCAATAGGGAGCTCATGTGGATAGAAATAAACAATTCACTAAAGTTTCTGGCAAATTGGTGAAATTGTTTTTGAGTTATTGTCCAAAAACATGAAAACCCCCCTTTTTTAATGAATAAAACCCCGAAACTCGGAAACGGTAAATCTGAAATTTATAAAAAATGAAAGGGAGGTCACGTCAATAGATATAAACAATTCACCAAAGTTTCATGCATATTGGTCAAAACGTTTTTGAGTTAATGTCCGACATGTTGACGACGGACGGACGGACAGACGGACGCTCAACAGTATACCATAATACGTCCCGTAAACGGGCGTATAAAAATTATTCAGCATTCCATCTTAGATCAAAAGACAAAAATCAACATTTCAATTATAGCAATACTACATGTATTGTTATCACATTTTTCGCAATAAAATATTGTTACCTCTCAATTTCTTTCCTGACTTGGTTTGCAGTATCCTCTAGTATGTGATCTTCTCCACTCTTCGTAAGTCCATGGTAACCTTTAAATCATGCAAGGAAACCTTTGTGAGTCTTTCTAGGGAAAAAAATGTGTTGCTGATCATCCCCAAATAATACATGATGTATAATCAAATATCGCAAAGTCCATGTTAGTAATGGAATCAACCAGAGAAAATTCAGACCAAAAATTAAATGGCACAGGCTACGGTTACATGGAAATGTAACAATAATAAAAAAAATATTTTTACATTGGAGGCTAATTGCCGGAATATATGGTTGGGTAAGAATCCAATTAATTACAAATGTAACAATAATATAACCATAGACACAATTATTATTGTAACATTCATAATTAATCAGATCCTTACCCAACCCTGCATTCCAGCAAATTGGTCTCAAATGTAACAATAATCTTTTTATTATTGTTACATTTCCATGTAACTGTAGCCAGTGCCAAATTAAATAGCAGATGTACATGTACACTTTCATGTCCTGCAAAGGAATTACTATAAATTTGGTGGAATTCAGTTCAGCAGTTTTTAGTCAGCTATTATTCAACTATCACACAAATAAATGCAAGCAAATATTTTTGAATTTACATACATGTACAGTTATTCAAAGAGTGATTGAATAGAGGGGGACAACTCTTGCATTGTCATGGTGATATATATATACCTAATGCCCAATTTGTTCCTCTTCCTCTCTTTCCAGATACAATATTTCCATCTCTGAAAAAAAAAAATATTTATGAGCCTTGACAAAGTCAGGAACCCCAGACCATCAGTGGCAATATCTTCCCTAGAACATTTTGAAGGATCAGGGTTGACTGAAAGGATAGTGTTTATGAATTTTGATGGAGATGGCTTATATAAAGTACAGTCAAACCTGCTTTAGATCACCTGTATTATGTAAAAACCTGTATTATAAGACCATAAATTTTAGATCCCTCTGTAGTACATTGAACCTGTATCAAAAGACCACCTGTCTGATTTAAGATACCACTTTTTTGTTCTCCCATAAGTTGTCTCTTAAAACAGGTTTCACTGTACTAGTAAATTTCAAGTTATAAAGGATGGGGCCATTGACAAAGTCAGGAACCCTAGACCATCAGTGGCAATATCTTCCCTAAGAGCATTTTTAAAGAATCAGGATCAACTGAAAGGATAGTGGTCATGACTTTTGATGGACAGTATGGCTTATATAGAGTACTAGTAAATTTCAAGTTATAAAGGATGGGGGTCTAAATTAAAGCATGATGGTACCACCGATATGCAAATTAGTAGTTGTTGCTGTATATCGTTTTTCTTTTCTTTTCTAGGTATATCAGGCTGTAAGTATTATCGTATGGATTGTTTTACATTTGTTATGTTAGGCCTTTTATAGCTTGCTATGCAGTTGTGGGTTTTGCTCATGAAGGTTGTATTGTGACCTAGCTATATTGCTGCTTTTATGTCATTTGGTCTCTGGTGGAAAGTTGTCTCATTTGGGGCAATATGCACAATTGTTTCTACATACGCGGTAATGGTACGTTTTCTTCTCTAGCTCAGTCCATATCGTAAACTTGGATATGTATGATGGCTGGTTTCAAAGTTGAGACGTTTTCACATATGTGGTTAAATTTTTGGGGTACGAAGTGTGATTCATTTTTCCGTAAATTCGCATACCCCGAAAATCCTTTCGTGATGCGGTTCCTCATGGTAAAAAATCCCTTTTTCACACAATAATTTCTTTGAAAATTTAATAATTTGAATACATTTAATAACTCCATAGTTTTTACATATTTATTCTATGGTCCTCTACTTTCCAGATCAACACAAATGGTTAAGCTCAGTCACTTGTTAAAAATTGAAACATGTCCAGTATCATTACACAGAGATTTTTTGTTTACCATGTTTACACACAACTTTTGTGTTCCTCAATTGGAGGCGCATTAGGGATATTGACCCATTTGCAATTATACCACATCTAATTTTTATAGTGTCTTGTTCTTTTGCCATGTTTTAATTATTGTGTTATGATCAAAGTGTCCTAAATATAAAAAAAAAATTAAAACTTAATTTAAAATTTGCAATAATAAATAATCTCCCCTTAGACAGTATTTGTGTTTATTGATCAACAATCACAATAATAAATGCAAGCAAACATTTCTGAATTTCTCGTCCTTCATTTTTGTATTTATTCATGTTCATTTACTCACCTTATTTTGAGACCTTTACAAGCCTTTTGTACAACTTTTGGCTCACTATCTACATGTACAGATCTTTGTTTTCCATCAGGGTGTATAAAAGTGTGTCTGAAATAGCAAAAAAAAAAAGAGACTTAGGTGATGGTAAAACAAAGAGACAAATGAATTAGCACAGCCTCACTCCTTTTATCTCAATGCATGCATGTGTGATTTCATAAAAAAAGTTAGGTGAATGTAAAAACCAAAAGTCTTAATTTTTGTGTTCTTTACTATTGGTGAAAAATATTTCAAGAAATATCGAACAGAAATCATACATGTAAAATAAGATTATATACATGCACCATTTGAGGTGTGCCCAGATCTACTTTGATTTCAAAATGGTGTCCACAATTAAGTAATTTTCCCAGATATATCAATTCTGGAAAGTATTAAACATCAAACTCAGTGAAATTTGGTAAACCCGTATTTTCAGATAATATAAATGGAATGTTCTGGAAATTCGGGACAATAAAATTTAATAGAGTTTGAAATGTTATAATCTTTGGAAGTGAAGAATTTTGGACTGAGTGTGTCCAAATAATGATGATGTCTTAAAGGTTGTTTTATTTTTTTGCTTTGACGCCTTCCTGTTGCAGGAAAAAGCAAATAAAAAAAAAATCTTATCAAGACATCATAATCATGATAATTATTTGGACTATCGACAGGAAGGCTTAAAAAAAGCCTTTTAAGACATGATAATTAATTTAGTATGACTAATTCTAAGTGCCTGCCAATTGCTACCAACAGGCTTCATGTAATAATAATACGATATTAAAATATTAAACCCTCTTGCTGCCAGAGGTACACATGTGCCCACACGGACGACACATACATGTTTAACTTTATGCAAGCTTCTCATCATTTAAACATGTCAAATAAATGACTGAAAATTAAACACTGCAATTTTTTTCTTCAATGGCTCCAAAATGTAATGGTTATTAGGGCATGATGTCATTAAAAGAATGAAGTCATTGTTGGATTTGTGACGTCAACAACGTAGAGATGTCGTATTTTCTGGCACACGAAATGCAATCTTTAATAAAAACTACTGGCAGCAAGAGGGTTAAATTAATAGTATCTTTTCCCACTTTGTAAATAACCTTGTAAATAAACCCATACTGCATACATGTCATGCATGTTGTCTTGAACATTGGAGTTCATGTCTAAATAAAATTTACTTACTTACTTACATGTGGGCGTGCTCCGAAATATACATACAGGGAAAAAAATTAACGGTCGTCCAGTTGCAATATGAAGCGATCAAATACCTGTTCGGATTTGGCTTCAAGAAAGCGATGAAAGTCAGAGAAGATGACAATAGCATGTTATGAAATAATATCAGTCAAAAAAAAAGAAAGTATATTGTTAAGAATCTGGAAAACAGTACCTTTTGTAGTTCCCTTTTCAAAGCCAATGTGGTGTCCAGAGAAGGTCAAAAATGAAAGTAGAATATTGTCGACCACAAATAAATAAAATTAGTTCAAATTGATTTTAGTTTCCTACTTACTGAACAGTTTACCCAAAATATAAAACCAGAGGAAATATCAATTTTATGACAGTGCTTTTGAAATATGTGTACAAGTCTTTTGAGAGAAAAAAAGGGGGGTCATTTGTTTACAAATGCACGTAGTTACGCAAAATAAATCAACCAAGATATTTAATAAGTTAGATTATTATAGAAATAAAATTAAATATTTCATCTATCATCTACATGTATTCAAGGACAGAGAATTCTTTAGCTGTCTTAAATAGATATGTAAAAAAATTGGTACACTGGGCATGAAGATTCCCATTTTGTAAATAATTTTTTTTATTAAATTTGATTGAAGTAAACAACAAAAATAAGACAAAATTTACATTTTCCCAAGCCTCTAAATCACCTCCAGGTATGCTCAGAATGCAGGGTTTTGAGTCTAAAATTTCAAAATTCAAAAACCCCCCTAGCAAGTTCAGCCTGTGAAGCGGGCTTCACTAGTGATAGTGAAATAATGTGGGCTACTAACTTTTTGTCTGGGCTAACTGATTTTCAAGTCTAGTAGCTCAGCTGGCTACTGGCCAGTCAGAGGACTTACTGAAATAAGTGATTTAAAAATCACTTATTTAAGTAGCAAATTTGAAATTTTGTCTCAATATTGGGATTTTGTAGTTTTACCAAAATTTTAAACATATATAGGTTTAGATTATATCTTATTATTAGTAAAATTGGAAAAAATGAACCTTTTTCTTCTTTTATATAGAAAGGTTTATGCCTTTGATGCAATCAATAAGCTGTAAATTCTATATTTGTTGAAAAAATGCTATAATAAAGGCTTTACATAATGAACTGATACATGTATTTTCTTAACAGATTTTTCCCAGCAGTGGGAGTAATTTTCCTGTAAAATTCAAGGTTTCATCTTACAGATTATGCAATAAAATTTTACTGTTCGCGATCAAAATTTCACTGTTCGGGGGTGTTGAAATTAGTGGGGGTAACTAAAATAATAATACTTAAAGAAGTGATTTTTTGGAAGAAAATAGAGGTATGATACTTAAACAAGTGATTTTTCATGTCATTATCCCAGATTCAGTACAAGGTCATCACCTGACATGACCTGTCATCATATCAACACAGACAAATCGGCACTCAGGTCTGAAGACATTTCAGCATCCGTTTTGGACATTTCGGGATCGGGACATTTCAGGACCAAGACATTTCGGCACCTCATTTTTCTCTCTCTATATATAAAGAAAGTAAAAGAATTGTTACAGTAATAGTATAATCCTAGATCAGAATGTTCCAGTGTGTATGGACCACCACCAAAGTGACTTTGTTAGAACTTATAGTGCTGCCTGTATATATGCTATATGTTATATTTACAGTATTTTAAATATTTCATTACTATCATATGTTCACCTTTTATGCAAATCTAGTGCTGTTAATGCATCTATAAACTGCTGAATATATATATAATAATTATAATAAATATTAATAAAATAAATATTATAAGTATGCTACATGTGTTTTATTGATTTAGAATACTATTGGAATAGAACTATGCATAAATTAAAACTAGTACATGCATGGTGAAATCTATAAAATCAATTTTCATGCATCAGGAAAAAGACTACACACAAACCACTTCATAAGATACTTCTTCGAAGATACCATATACAATAATGTCATAAATAGTGCAGGAATCAAATTGGTAATTTGTAAAAACAGTCGAAAATAATTGCTATATTAACACTTAAGTTGCAAATTGAGTTCATGCCCACATACCTATATCAGTGCCAGGTAACTTTAATTTTTGGTTCATATATTTTGATCAAGAATTTAATAATTGATTTTATCTTTATGAGGTGCCGATTTGTCTAGGTGCCGATTTGTCTGGAGGCCGAAGTGTCTTTCTCGGGTGCCGATTTGTCCGGATGCCGATTTGTCTGGGTGCCGAACTGTCTAGAATTCTTTTTGTGTACCCCTAATGAACAGCTTTGTCTTGTGATGTTTTCTTCCAGAAAGCCTTTCCTATTTGGTTTCCGCATTGACCGACATGTAGAAATACTGCAGACATCTTCAGTTAAAATCGTCATTGTTCATAACATTGCCGTTGTCTAGCAAAACAGACTGTACATTTAAATGAAAACAGATCAAAAACATCTGATTTCAACCTGGAGTTAAATTATACATAAAATCAAAAAATCAAATTGAAACCAGTAAAAAGTTTCCGCGTTTTAGTAAAAAAATATAAAAAAAGATGTGATATTATTGCCAATAAGACAACTATCACATGAGTTCAAATGAAGCAATAATATGCCACCGTATGGCCCTCAACAATGAGAAAAACTGTATAGTCGGACGTAAAAGGCTGTTACATGAAAAATGTGAAACAATTATTTTCTTCCAGGTTACGAGTCGAACTCTGTAGTAAAGTGTAATAACTAGTGTCAAGCTATCCAGCAATTCCCATCCTGCTATTCTCTTGCGAAAAAGCTATCCTACAATTCGTCATCCTGCAATTGCGTTCGAAAAACATGAGTGACAGTTTTATTTTTTTTCACTGAAATCATGGATTTTGACTTGTTTTGTTTGAAAAAAAAAAGATAAAAATAGATATAAAGTTTTTTATATCCCATTCACAAATGTCTAACTTTTGTTTACAAATTTCTAACTCATATTTACGATTTTATAATTAGATATATATATATATATATATATATATATATATAACTCTTTGTGAATCTTCATGATTTTTCGAATTGAAAAAAAAATGAAGATTCACAAAGAGTTATCATGAGATCTGTGAAGCTCGGATATGATTCGTATTTGTGCATGTTTAACCAACATTTGCGATTTTTAAAACTCATATTAACTATATAAAATGTACAATTTTGATGTAAAATTAATTTTCTTATGGAATACCGAAATACAAATCCTATTTAACATTTCATAACTCACACTGAAGAGATATATTTGGAGGGCGTTTAAATATTCTATCGAATAATTTGCAGCTTCTTAAACTTTCTTGTCAAAAAAGTAACCCACTTCTAGTAGGTTTGAGTTGTAAACTGTCCCAGACATGCTTTCTGGTTTCTTGTGTCGTTGGTTGCTGTCTCTGTGAAACTTGTGAATTCACCATCTTTGAATAATGTTGTTACAATTGCCACACAAAACAGCTGTACTAGTTACCGGTTTAACAAATTATACATCTCTCAATTGACAATACCATTGATTTTCAGATATGACAGCATTTATAAGTAAGAGTCAATGCTATTTCACAAATTAAAATCCTACAAGATGTACAAAACTAACACATTATTTGGTGCCATTTGATAAGCATAATTATCAGGGGACATAACTCAGTTATACGGAATGGAGATGCATCATGTGACAGCTCACTCCCCAGCCACTATAAATTTTAAATATCTTGATGTCATTCAAAATGGCGGGATCCGCCCCTGTAATGAGGCACAGTTTATGGAAAAATTTGAATAATTGTTTTGTTATTAATTAAGTCGCCAGTTTTCTCAATTGAATTGTTTCATAATTTTCATGTCGAGGCCTTAAATAACATACTGTACGCGGTA